TTCAGTTTTCACTAAAGCCAACTTTATTGTATAGAAATGTGTGAAATTTTCCTCTAAAAAATTTTCTAAACCTCTTATTTCTCAATAGAAATTATTATATTATCTGCCTTTTCCCAGCTGAGAGCAGAAAGTAAGTGGCATATGTAAGAGATGCTCTTACCAGCTCCAGGACTGAACCCCATGGTAATAGTAGTGGAGAACCCACTGGACACCATCCACATAACACCTGGCCTGGTTGGCTAGGAACTCACTGCAGATGGGGTAATGAAAATATATTTTAGGAACACTTGTAAACTACAAATTGATGCAATGACATCAGCTACTTAAAAGCAGTATAAAGTCTTCCCAATGTCCACATACAGTATGTTTGACCATACTGGTCCATTAATGTCATGTTTTTTTCCTTGTTCGCTGTTTGTGGCTCAACTAAAAGAGGTGTGGTGGGTGTCCCTTAAGAACTTATCAGCACTCTTTACCAATAATTATCAATTGTTGGGTATTTATTTTAGACTTAGTTCTCTTCTAACATGAGGCTACACTTTCAGACATTCACATAAACGTCTTTTAAATATTAATTGTTCACATTATTAACTGTTCACATGGCCTAGATACAATCAACTTTAATGTGAGTGATCAGCTCTGGAATTGATTTGTTATTCATTTCTATGCATTGTGTGCGTTTGTGACTATATACTCACTCCGACACCACATCCACTCCCATCTTGGTCATATAGTAGGTGCGTTTGTACTGACTGAACTCAGTTTCAAACAGATCATCCTCTTCCTCATCTTCTGCCATCATTTTCTTTCTTTCAGTCACTTTGTCTGAGGAGCTCAGAGGTGCAAGGCAGGAGGCAGAATTCTGCACATGCACATGACAAATGAGAGTTATTAATTACAGGAAATACATATTGAAAACTGTACATGAAAAAACAGTCGAGGAATGTCACTGTTATTTTTAATGCTGCATCTCTACCTCCATCTTTTCGGTGTCTTTGCTAGCAGCTTCTTCCTCTGCTGCCAGTCCAGCTGCCTCATTCAGATACTTGTTACCAATCTTACTTTCAAACCACTTCAAGTCCACAAACACGTTGTTGAAATGTTCCCGGTCAAACTGGAGGGAAACAGGAAGAAGAGGAATTTAAATTAACAATACAGTTTTCTAGAATAGATGCCATCATGTAATAAAAAAAAAGACATTTAATTTTACTTTACAACCTTTTTCCAAACTAAGCTACTCAATCCAAATGGAAACACTGTGATTTTTCCAGTATCCATTAAATGTGCCTTCTTAAAATAACAGTGACCACCTGCCTATACTGTATGAAGTAAAACATTATTAGACATAAACAATGTACAGAAAACAGCACTGATCACTACAGACAAAAAAAAAGTTCAAAATTTTTGAAAGGCTAATGTAAATATCATTTTTAATTTAAATGGAGAATTTACATTAAGCTGTACAGTGTTGTCTCACCTCAGCAAGTTTCTCCAGGTATTTCTCAAAGTTCCTGAGGTTTAGGTGGCCGTTCTCATTTAGATAGCCTGAATCAGAGAATCACAGTCAGTTCTGTTTTTTATGTGTATGATATATATTATTGTAGGCTTTTTTGAAAACAAAAAAAAAACAAAAAAAAAAACAAAAAAACACCTCACTAAACCTGACAAAAATGTTAAAATGAAAACAGGTTTCTACAAAGTAATGTCAATTAAATAAAAATATGTAAGGGAAATAGGTAAATATTCACCCCCTTTAAAAGACTGACCTAATTCAACAGCGGTCCAGCCAATTGGTGCTAGTAGTCTCACAATTAGTGAAATGGGGACCACAAGAGTGCAGTGAATGTGTCTCAAGCGCTTGTAGTGCCTGTGTCTGGAAGGTCCAGTCACTGGTTAATCAGTATTCCTGGCTACCATTACACCATGAAGTCAAAAGAACACTCCAAGCAACTCAGAGAAAAGGTTATTGAAAAGTATGACTCAGGGAATGGATACAAAAAACATTTCCAAGGCACTGAACATCCCCTGGAGTTCAGTTAAATCCATCATCAGGAAATGGAAGGAATATGGCACATGTCTAAATCTGCCTAGATCAGGCCGTCCTCACAAACTGAGTGATAGTGCAAGAAGGAGACTAGTGAGAGGGCACCAAGACACCTGAAGGAGTTACAAGCTTCAGCAGCTGAGATTGGAGAGACTCTGCATACAACTGTTGCCCTGGTTCTTCACCAGTCAAAGATTCATAGGAGAACAGCAAAGAGAAAGTCACTGTTGAAAACTCATGTGAGAGACTTGACGATCAAGTGGAAGAAAGTTCTTTGGTCTGATGAGACAAGAATGGTGCTTTTTGGCCATCAGACAAGACACAGTGTTTGGCGGACACCAAACACTGCACATCACCACAAACACACCATCCCCACTGTGAAGCACGGCAATGACAGCATCATGCTGTGGGGATGCTTCTTGGCAGCCGGCCCTGGAAGGCTTGTAACTGTAGAGGGTAAAATGAATGTGACAAAATATAGGAAAACCCTGGAGGACAATCTTATTCAGTCTGCAAGAGAACTACAGCTTGGGAGAACATTTATTTTTCAACAAGAAATGGTTTATAGACAAGGTGAGTGTTCTGTTGTGGCCGAGTCAAAGAAGACCTAAATCCAATAGAGAATTTGTGGTTGACTTGAAAAGTCACCCGATCCCCGCGCAACCTGGCAGAGCTTGAGCAGTTTTACAAAGAAGAATGGAGTAAAATTGCAGTGTCCAGATGTGCAAGCCTGACTGAGACCTATCCACACAGACCCAGTGGTGTCATTGCACCCAAAGGTGCAGCTACTAAATACTGACCTGAAGGGGGTGGATATTTATGCACCTGTTTCCCATTACACACTTTTATTTAATCGACATTATTTTGTAGAAACCTGTTTTCACTTTGCCATTAAATAGGTTTTTTTTATAAAAAAATTTGTTTTCAAAAAAGGAAAATTATATTGACCATGATTTATTTATAAAATCAATAAAAGGATAAAACATCCAAAAAGATGAATACTTTTTATAGGCACTGTGCTCGTTAACCATTATAATGTAGAATGTTCACCTTCTACAATAGCCCCTTTTACACAGAGATAGTGGCAAACTGTTGATGTTTTGACCCTTCTAAAAGGCATCTTTAAAATCTGAAAACTGCTGCGCCTGTGTTCATTTTACATAGATTTTACACAGCTGCTGGTATCCCGGTACTTAGCTTAGCATTTGATGGTCTGTGCATTTCACAGCAAATTTGAAAATTAAACAAATGAGCTGTTAACTGATTTTGTTGATTTATTTATAGATGGAAACTGGGAATTACATTAACCTCCTACGTGCATCCAGTTTAAAATCTGAGTGTCTGTTTAGGGTCAGGGCTACACACACAAGGTCCACACAGTAGAATAGACAGAAGCATGCGTTTTAGCTGGATTCACTCAAAATCCTTCCCAAGGGATTATGCAGAATTGTGGCTTTGTTTATTCCTGCTTTAGAATATAACCACAGTGAAACAATCACAAAATAACATTTTAATTCTCTGATTCACTTTGTGCTTACTCTCTAGCTCTTGCTCACATGGACCTCCAACTTCTCTATTCCACCTCATCCTCTTTATACAGGAGGTGGGATGAACTTGTCTTGGCAAAAATACTACCTGTTGTTGTGGCATTTTGGAGAGTCAACATTGACCACCTGTGTCGGTACTATACGTTTATACAGAACAGTGAGGCAGAAAACTGGCGGAAAACTCCCGCATTAAATGGCCAGTTTAAAATGGCCTACTGTGACAAGCTGAACAAACACAAACTATACAAAAACTTTAAAAAACTCATTTTGAAATACCATATATTTTAAATGTTTTAAAATAAGCATCTTGATACTTTGTCTGTCTATATGTACAGTGCCTGCTATATTCATACGCCTTGAAATTTTCCACATTTTGTCACGTTACAACCACAAACTTATTTTATTGGGATTTTATGTGATAGACCAACACAAAGTATCACATAATTGTGAAGTGGAAGGAAAATGATATGTGGTGTTCAAGATTTTTTTTACAAATAAAAATCTGAAAAGTGTGGCGTGCATATGTATTCAGCCCCCCTGAGGCAATACTTTGTCAAATCACCTTTCGCTGCAATTACAGCTGCTAGTCTTTTGGGGTATGTCTCTACTAGCTTTGCACATCTAGAGACTGCAATTTTTGCCCATTGTTCTTTGAAAAATAGCTCTGGTTCAGTCCAGTTCAGTCAGATTGGATGGAGTGTCTGTGAACAGCAATTTTCAAGTCTTGCCACAGATTCTCAATAGGATTTAGGTCTGGACTTTGGCTGGGCCATTCTAACACATGAATATGCTTTGATCTAAACCATGTACAGTATTGTTCAAAATAATAGCAGTACAATGTGACTAACCAGAATAATCCAGGTTTTTAGTATATTTTTTATCGCTACATGGCAAACAAGTTACCAGTAGGTGCAGTAGATTCTCAGAAAGCAAACAAGACCCAGCATTCATGATATGCACGCTCTTAAGGCTGTGCAATGGGGCAATTAGTTGAAAGGGGTGTGTTCAAAAAAATAGCAGTGTGGCATTCAATCAGTGAGGTCATCAATTTTGTGAAATAACAGGTGTGAATCAGGTGGCCCCTATTTAAGGATGAAGCCAGCACTTGTTGAACATGCATTTGAAAGCCTGAGGAAAATGGGTCGTTCAAGACATTGTTCAGAAGAACAGCGTACTTTGATTAAAAAGTTGATTGGAGAGGGGAAAACCTATAAAGAGGTGCAAAAAATTATAGGCTGTTCAGCTAAAATGATCTCCAATGCCTGAAAATGGAGAGCAAAACCAGAGAGACGTGGAAGAAAACGGAAAACAACCATCAAAAGGGATCGAAGAATAACCAGAATGGCAAAGGCCCAGCCAATGATCAGCTCCAGGATGATCAAAGACAGTCTGGAGTTACCTGTAAGTACTGTGACAGTTAGAAGACGTCTGTGTGAAGCTAATCTATTTTCAAGAATCCCCCGCAAAGTCCCTCTGTTAAAAAAAAAGGCACGTGCAGAAGAGGTTACAATTTGCCAAAGAACACATCAACTGGCCTAAAGAGAAATGGAGAAACATTTTGTGGACTGATGAGAGTAAAATTGTTCTTTTTGGGTCCAAGGGCCACAGACAGTTTGTGAGACGACCCCCAAACTCTGAATTAAAGCCACAGTACACAGTGAAGACAGTGAAGCATGGTGGTGCAAGCATCATGATATGGGCATGTTTCTCCTACTATGGTGTTGGGCCTATTTATCGCATACCAGGGATCATGGATCAGTTTGCATATGTCAAAATACTTGAAGAGGTCATGTTGCCTTATGCTGAAGAGGACATGCCCTTGAAATGGTTGTTTCAACAAGACAATGACCCCAAACACACTAGTAAACGAGCAAAGTCTTGGTTCCAAACCAACAAAATTAATGTTATGGAGTGGCCAGCCCAATCCCCGGACCTTAATCCAATCGAGAACGTGTGGGGTGATATCAAAAATGCTGTTTCTGAAGCAAAACCAAGAAATGTAAATGAATTGTGGAATGTTGTTAAAGAATCATGGAGTGGAATAACAGCTGAAAGGTGCCACAAGTTGGTTGACTCCATGCCACACAGATGTGAAGCAGTTATAAAAAACTGTGGTCATACAACTAAATATTAGTTTAGTGATTCACAGGATTGCTAAATCCTAGAAACAAAAACGTTTGTACAACATAGTTTTGTGTTTGTACAGTCAACGGCAGACACTGCTATTTTTTTGAACACACCCCTTTCAACTAATTGCCCAATTGCACAGCCTTAAGAGCGTGCATATCATGAATGCTGGGTCTTGTTTGCTTTCTGAGAATCTACTGCACCTACTGGTAACTTGTTTGCCATGTAGCAATAAAAAATATACTAAAAACCTGGATTATTCTGCTTAGTCACATTGTACTGCTATTATTTTAAACAATACTGTAAATAAGCACCAGTTCTAAGTGTCTTTGTGTCCTTGATTTATACAACATACTGCACTATATACAATATGTGTGTGTATGACAAGCATCTAGACAACTTCATAGGACAATTAAGACAGTAACTACATAAACATGCATAGTGAAATGCACCACAGAGGAAAATTAAGTTGAAGTAAATGGAGCTGGACTTGATGGAACCTATTGCACTTGGTTGTGTACACTCACATAGTTTTTTTTTGCTTTTGACACTTTGACTTTGAAGATAATGCATTGAGATTCTGATGGCTACATCTGATAATAAATAAAACACTGAAATATAGACAACTGTACCCTTCACCCCCTGTCAGTACCTCAAAACGGAGGATGATGGTAAGAAATGATCCTCCAGCCTTATGTGCTGTTTCAGCATGAGATGGTAACATGAACTGTCAGCGGCATGAAAATGTTACTAAGCCTCAGGTTTTTTCCTGCCTCGTACTGTACGTGTTGCTTTCACTTTCTACGTTATGACCTTTAGTGAAGCACATTTCCCATATAAACTCTCAGATTCCTCCTAGTTGTTTGGTTTTATTCGGCTTATACTGGTATTTCTACTATAATGATGCCTATGAACTCATGTGAGGAAAACCTGCACGTCATAACGTAATCAATAAATGTGCTCACTCTCTCACACCTATACACTTTTTTTTTATCTGTATATGATCTCTTCCATTTGTTGCATTTAGGGCCTTACTGCTGCTAAGCCATGTCTGTGACAGTTGGTTTGATCCTGTGTTTGTGCTGTAAAATCTGAAGCCAACATTTTTTGTTCTCCAGTAGCAAGAGTGACCTCAGGAAGTGATAAGCAGACTTCCTCGACTTCCTCACAGCACAGCAGCACTTCTGCCAAACCCTGCCGATTTCCCAAGTGAGTCACAGAACTTCCAAGATACAGACCAAAACAAATACCTCACAAAGTTGTAACACTCAGGACAGACATGACCCCCAACATCTGGATGACTTTAAATGCTCTTCAAGTGAAAAGTGTATTAAGACTCTTTTAGCATTTTGTACAGATATTATACACTCTCCTTGTACATGGGGTCACACGTTTGATAAACTTGGTCATTATCTCCCACAGATGTGAACCTCGGCCAGTTTCACCAACACCCACCACAGGTGAGTGTGTGTTCTTGTACTTGCTACATAGTGATGACCAAACTATTTTTTTTGCTGCAGAGTGAAGACATCTTTGGAAAGTGAGGACATTTTGGCAGGTCCTCACTTTCTGAAATGCCTTTTTGAGGGTTTAGGTATGCTTTATGGTTCAGGTATGTGTGTGCGTGTGTGTCCCTCACCCCCCAGGCTGGGTAGTACACTGATGTAGGTCTTGTACAGCAGTGGCAAAGCATCATGGTTTATGTGAAGATTAGGAAGGTGAGGGATGAAATCGTTTCCCACGAGGAAGCCCATTAGAATCCAGTCGTCTATTATTCGTTCCAGGTCATAATCAGAACCAATCTGATTCTGAACCCATAAATATAATCAGAATTGCCAGGAAATTATTATTTTGCTTCCATAATTCATTTGGGATTTTAATCTTATACTAATTGTGCAGTTCATTCCATATTGGGTGTATGTGTGTTTCTCACCCTGAGCTCATCAAACTCATAGTCAATGTACTCTCTCATCAGAGACAAATGAAGTAAGTGAAAGGTTGTCTCCTCTGGAGCTGTTGTCCTGAATGAGAAGATGGTGTTAAGGAAAGGAAAATGTAGTATCTTATGACAGAATAGGCACATCAATAACACAGGCAAAAATTTAATAAAAAAATATTTTTAAAAATCGAGAGAAAGAAAAGCAAATCACACCTTTTCTGAGATTTTTTCCCACCAAAACGGACCTCTTCTCTAAGCAGGGCGAAATTTGGCTCGTGGCTGGTTAAACCCAACATTATCTACAACATTGAGAGCAACGATGGTACAAGTACTCTTTACACATCCACAGAGGACCTAAGCTGTAATGTAAGCATAAAACACTGGGGCGCACAAACCCTACCAGATCAGCATCCAGGCCGTACAGGCAATGTCGGGTGTTGGGGTCATGTCCCGGCTTGGAATTCTCAGAGCGGATAAACTCCATGATCTTATGTTCTCCTTCCCCTGGTGTCTGTAAGGAAGAGAAACATACACACTCAATACAATAATGACTTAAGCTGAAACAGAATCACAGTAATTGGACATTGGCAAGGTGTACACTAATGTCTACATGCTGTCACTGAAATTGCTGTGTTACGTACCTCATGACCAGACAGGAAGACTTTGACATTCTGCCATAGCTTGTCAGTAGAGAGCTTGTTGTGGACAAAATACTTGAGCTGTTCCTGAAGTCTTGCCATGAAGTCAGTACCTGGAAATAGAATGTTATTTAAGTGGTTGCTGCTAAATTTCTCAGAAGAGCCTAATTAATATCAGATACATTGTGAAATTGTATAAAATGTGTTCATGCTAAAAGCAACATGGTTTTAGTGACCGTAAAGACTGCATGTAGTAAACAAAATGCAGTCGAACCAAAATTCAGCCCACACTGCTTAGTATCAATGCTAAACAGAGGTGCACAGTAAAGTGAACTTCCTTTCACTCTAGTACAAAACAAACAGATGACTGTACAACAACACTGTCAGGAAAAAGGGCATTCAACCCAATGCCCTCACCCCTGAGCTGTATGTTTCAGTCTGGTGTGTTTGCCTGTTTAGTTCAGTTTGTTTTAGCTGTGTGAAACCTGTCAGTATAACTCTGGGGCCAGCTACACAATGTGACCAAGACTGTCTGAAGAGGATGGTCTCAATAAAGGATGAGCTGTAACTTATGTCAGGATATGTGCAGCTACTGAGTACCAATCTAATACTAGTGTTTTCTTTCTTCCAAATTTAAACTGTGTGTAGCTCACTGTGTAAAACTCAGTGGAATCCTTTTTTGTGAGGTAACAAAGCAGCACAGATTGTTACCATGTGGCTGTTGCATGTCACTCCATTTTAAATGAGGAAGTGAAAAATACTGCACAAGGAGCAAAACAAAATACCCAGCATTCCATGAATACAAAATACCAATGCTACCCGTCTGTATTCTGCTAGATCTCATTTTATCCATTTTAATGCGTGATGTTATTCTTATGCTTGAGAGCATCCCTACCAGGAGTGATACAGTTGGAGTCAAAGCGAGACTCTGTGGGAAGCACCTCTCCTTTGTCCAGAGCTTTTTTTATCTTTTCCTCTGCTTCTTTGGCAGACCTAGATACACAAACACAGGCAGATATAAAAGAGAACAGGTCAAACTCAAGGCTCTGCCTGTGGCCCTACCTGTTGGCTGGTTTCTTCTGTCTTTACCAAAGCAAATGTTTTGGTTTTCTGTTTGAAACTCATTCTGCCTTGTAAGACACACAGGCCACAGGTATTTGTCTCACAAATATTACATGTAAAGCACATAATTATACCAGATGTATAAAGAATATTTAAGAACAGACTTGGTGGAAATATAATACAGCATTATTTTCACTTAGGATTCAAACATTGCTGAGCAGGCACAGGCTCATAAAATTCCACTTATTTTTTATTTGGTGACTTCATGAAAAGCTGATACCAGTACCGATTTAATTCTTAACAATCAGGTTCAAGTCTCTTTGAGGTCGAATGGAGTAGCATTTATGGATGAAAGGGCTATAAGTTAATATCATAGGGTCAAATGAATTAATAATAATAATTCAACATTAAACTTAGGTCTGGATCAGGGTCATAAACTCAGGTCAGAGTCTCATGCTATACACAAAGAACCTCTGCATATTTCTGTCATCCTGCATCCATCTCTACCTGAATCTCCGTCCTCTCTGCTGGTTCATCTTTGCTCTTGGTGCCACACCGTCTACAGCCATGAAGAAGACCTTGCGAGGCTTGACGATCCTGAAGAGCACCTCCAGGTAATGGAAGATGTCAGCAAAAATCTTTTCCTCAGAAATGCGAAAGTGAACATCCTCATCATTTGGGTGGGAACACTGATGGATGATCCCATTCATGTCCAGATAGAGGTTGTCAAATTCTGGAATCTGAAGTGAGAAAGAAACTTTAACAAATTCAACACTATTAAAGATTGTAAAATATATTTCTGAAATATTCCTGTAACATGGCTACAAATTGGTTGTTATTCCTTGACTGTTTAGAATATACATTAGAATATCGTAGAAAAGTCTATTTATTTCAGTAATTCAACTCAAATAGTGAAACTCGTGTATTATATAAATTCAGTACACAGAGACTGAAGTAGTTTAAGCCATTGGGTCTTTTAATTGTGATGATTTTGCTCACATTTAACAAAAACCCACCAATCTCAATAAATTTGAATATGGTGACATGCCACTCAGCAAGTTAACTCAAAACACCTGCAAAGGTGTCCTGAGCCTTCAAAATGGTCACTCAGTTTGGTTCACTAGGCTACACAATCATGGGGAAGACTGCTGATCTGACAGTTGTCCAGAAGACAATCAT